AAGGTCCTGGACTTCCAAATAACTGACACCCACACTCCTGACAGAGGAGCGTGGAGAAGGGATTGCAGTGTGGCAAGCCCTATAGCAAAAACCTCTCCAAAAAAAATGAAGTACATTTTAACACATGTACAGGACCAGCTGGTGGTGTGATGGTGAAGGACATGGCCATGGTCCTGCCCCAGCTGCTTGAAAAACATGCTGGGTGTGGGAACCAGCAGTTAGCGTAATGGCTATGTTGCTGGACTCCCACGTAGGCCACCGCCGCGGTTCGCGTTCTGGACCCAGTGGCTTAAAACTCACGCCGGGCGCGTGTGCGTGCGTGCCCAGGATCCCAGGAGGAGAATGGAGGAAAAGGGATTGCGGCATGACCATCCCCCTTGGGGGGTGATTTCTCGCTTTCTGTCTCTATGCCTCTTACTGTCTGTCTGGCGAGTGCACGCGCCCTATAGTGAAAACCTCTCAAAAAAAAAAAAAAGAAAGAAACATGCTGGGTGTGTGTGCATCCGCCCTAAAATCCTGAAAGGGGGGAAAGAGGGAGGAGAGAACCAGGCATAACCATCCCCCATGGGAGGTGCTTTCTGTCTCCTCCAAGCCCCACCCCCATCTTTCTCTAGCTAGCAGGTGTACCCTCTAACAAATTAAAAAACAAAACAGAGACTAGCAGATAGTGTGGTGAAGGTGCTGGATTCTCACATGGCTAATTATGTTTCAAGTCCCAGACTTGAAAATCATGCTGGGCACATGTGCATCTGTGCCCAAAATCCTGAGGGAAGAATGGAGGTGGAGGAGGGATTATGGTGTGGCCATCCCCCTCAGGAATGATTTTTCACTTTCTCCCTCTCTCCCTGGTGAGCATATATGCTCTATGGCAAAACACAAAAACATGTACAACAGACAGCTTGAAATCTCAGAACTATGGGGCCAGGTCATGGTGCAGTGGTTGCACAGCTGGACCCATATGGAAATGTCCTGAGTTAGCACCCTCGGACCTCCAGGAGCATGCATACCTCCTGAGCACACTGGGTACATAAGGTCCAGGCTGTCTGAAAAGGGGTGGATACTAGCCTAAGGACCCTCTTAGGGGTGTCTGTTTTTCTTATGAGAGAAGTAAATAAGTTTTTAAAAATAAGCAGTTCTTGGGGCTGGCAAGTGGCATGGTGGTTAAGGGCGCTGGACTCCCACATGGCTGACCACGGTTCGAGTCCCGGACCTGGTGGCTTGCCTTCTCACTTTCTCCCTCTCTCTCTGTCCCTCTCTGGTCAAATTTAAATAAATAAATAAAGTTAAATAAAATAATTCTTTTAAGAAAATTTCTTTCCACCTTACATTGACTTACTTAAGTACTACGTAGTGCATTCTTCCCCAATTTTTGTCTTAGATTGGTTCCAGTTTGGTTTAATATGTCTCTAGACCAGGGTTAGGCAAATTATGGCCCAAAGGAAAAGTCCAGCCTGGCAATTTTTTCTATGTCCTCTAAATTGAGATTTTTTTTTTTTTTGGAGAGGTTTTTCTATAGGGTGTGTGTGCCCTCCAGAAAGACAGAGAGAGACAGAGAGAGAGAACGTGAGAAGTCACCTCCCGGGGGGATGGCCACGCCGCAATCCCTTCTCCATTCTCCTTTTGGGATCTTGGGCACGCACACACACGTGCCGGTGGGAGTTTAAGCCACTGCGCCCAGGACTCAAACCGCGATCGACTACATGGGAGTCCAGTGACATAGCTATTATGCCAACTGCTGATCCCTAAACCGAGAATTTTTTTAAATAGTTAAATTTAAATAATATTTACATGAAAATATGGAATTCAATTTTACATAATAATCAAGGTTCTTTTTTTTTTAGAGTTTTTGCTATAAGGCTTGTGCATTCACCAGAGAGACAGAGACAGAAAGTGAGAAATCACCCTCCAGGGGGGATGGCCACGCCACAATCCCTTCTCCTCCATTCTCCTCTCAGGATCTTGGGCATGCACGCACACGCACCCGGCGTGATTTTTTTTTCGCTGGGGGCTGGCAGGTGGCATAGTGGTTAAGGTGCTGGACTCTCACAAGGACAACTACCGTTTAATTCTCGGACCTGGCAGCTTGCTTTCTCACTTTCCCTCTCTATCTAGTCAAATTGAATAAATAAAATTTAATAAATAATTCTTATAAAAATTATTTCATTTTCGGGACCAGCAGTTGGCGTAATGCTATGTTGCTGGACTTCCATGTTGTCGACCGCAGTTCAAGTCTTGGACCTGGTGGCTTAAATTCATGCTGGGCGTGTGTGCGAGCATGCCTAAGATCCTGAGAGAAGAATGAAGGGATTGTGGCATGGCCATCTCCCCAGGGGGTGATTTCTTGCTTTCTGTCTCTCTGATGAGCACACGCACCCTATAGCAAAAACCTCTCAAAAAAATTATTTCATTTTAATTATCATTATTTTCTTTTTTTTTTGGAGAGGTTTTCGCTTTAGGGCGCGTGTACTCGCCAGACAGACAGAGAGAGACAGAGAGACAGAAAGTGAGAAATCACCCCCCAGGGGGGATGGCCACGCCGCAATCCCTTCTCCTCCATTCTCCTCTCAGGATCTTGGGCATGCACGCACACACACCCGGCGTGTTTTAAGCCACCGGGTCCGGGACGTGAACCGCGGTCGACTATGTGGGAGTCCAGCGACATAGCCATTATGCTAACCGCTGGTTCCCATCATTATTTTTTAATTTGCTACAGGGCATGCATGTTCACTCACCAGAGAGAGAGAGAAGGAAAGCAAGAAAGCAAGCTGCCAGGTGCAGGACTCAAACTGCAGTCAGCCAGTGGAGTCCAGTACCTTAACCACCATGCTACCTGCTGGCTTTTTATTTTTTTTAAAGATTTTGCCATAGGACATGTGCACTTGACAGAGACAGTGAGAGGGAAAGTGAGAAATCACCCGCCTCAGGGAGTGATGGCAATGCTGCAATCCCTTCTCCTCTATTCTGTTTTGGGCACCAAAAACTCAGGAGGAGAAGGAATTGCATCTACACACACCTGACGTGATTCTTCAAGCCGCTAGATCTGGGAATCAAACTGTGTTGTTATATGGGTGTCCAACACTATAACCACACCACCTGGTGGCCCCAATATTTATTAAACACCTACTTTTCACAGGTATGGCTCTAGGCACTGAGGATACAGCAGTGAACAAAACTTGAAGCTTACATTCTAATGGGGAAGACAGTAAACAAGGTAAATGACATGTTGGGTGGTAGGTAAGTACAAGAGAGGGAGGGAGTTTGAAGGGGGTTGTGAAGGTGGCCAGAGAAAGTCTCACTGAAAGAACATTTAGTAAAGAGCTGAAGTAAAGGAGGAAATCATGTGGCTATCTGAAGGAATAGCGATCCAGGTAGGGAGAACAGCAAGTGCAAGACCCTGAGCAGACACATGCCGAGTGTCCAGGGGATAGCAAGGAGGCGAGTATGGCAGGAGAAGGGTGAATAGTGAAAAATGGGGCAAGCAGTATCAGGGCCCAGATCCTATAAGTCATTATGATGATTTTGTTTTCCTTTTTCCTTTCCGTGAGTGGAGCTGGGAGGTGGTGGTGGGAGGAAAGACAGCACCCCCAACAGGGTTCCATGCCTCCATCCACCCAGTCAACCCTGGATCATAGGCATGTGCATTCCAAACACACTTAGGGTGTGCTCCAGTCTCAAACCAGGAACCCTGCTCCCCACCTGGGTCAACCTTGGAGAGCATGGGGTTTTACCACTGTGGCATCATCCCACCCCATTTATGCTTTTCCTTCAAGTGAGATGGGAAGCCATGACAGTTTAGAGCAGAGAAAGAACATGAACATCTTATCAGAATCACTATGACTGTACTGTGAGAGCAGATTTAACTGGGGGAAGGTAAAGGTTGAAAACAGACCAATTACAAGGTTACTACAATAGGGAACCAGCAGTTAGCGTAATGGCTATGTTGCTGGACTCCCACGTAGTCGACGGCGGTTCGCATCCCGGACCCGGTGGCTTAAAACTCACGCCGGGCGCATGTGCGTACGTGCCCAAGATCTCCAGAGGAGAATGAAGAAGGGATTGCAGAGTGACCATCCCCCCTGGGGGGTGATTTCTGGCTTTCTGTCTCTGTCTCTGTCTGTCTGGCGAGCACACGCGCCCTATAGTGACAAACCTCTCCAAAAAAAAACAAAACAAAACAAAACAAGGTTACTACAAGAAAAAAGTGAGATACAATTGTGGCTTAGACCCACGTGGAAGTCGTGGAGAAAGTGTAGGAGAGTGGATATAGGTTTTGGAGGGCAATAGGATTGATCAAACAGATATGGGGAGACAGAAAAAAAGAACATTGTAGAAGCAAGATTTGGGTGGGAGAGGAGCCAGCATGTGACATGGTGGTTAAGGTGCCAGACTCCCACATGGCCAACTGTGGTTCAAATCCCGGACCTGGAAGCTGGCTTTCTCATTTGCCTTTTCTTTCTCTCTGGTCAGATTAAAACATAGTAACAAATTGAATTAAATAAATAACTCTTAAAAAATAAAAATATTTGGGTGGAAAAATTTAGGAGCTTGATTTTTGATTTTAGACATAAGCTTGAAATACCTATTAGACAATCAACTGAGTATGCATACTAGGGATATATATATATTTAGAGAGAGAGAGATGATACAGAAAATCACAATACTGACTGGGATCACTATGTTCTGTGAACCCTGCCTCCCATTCCTTGGCATGCCTAAGCCCCGTATTTCCTTGAAGATCTGAGGCCGCTGAGTCTGGTAGAAGAGGGCTGTGGGCTCTCCTGACTTAACACATTCACATCCATTTGCTTAAGATTTCTAGTGCTGGGGCTGGCAGGTGGCACAGTGGTTAAAGTGCTGGACTCCCCACAAGGTCCAACCACAGTTTGAGTCCCCGACTAGATGGCTTGGTTTCCCATTTTCCCTTCCTCTCTCTCTGGTCAAATTAAAAAATAATAACAAATGAAATAAAAAATAATTTTAAAAAATTCCGATTTCTACGCTTTAAACCCACAAGGCAAAAGGATGCAGCTTTAATTAGAGGTTTTCACTTTACCCCAGAGAATGTGAGGCTTCTCCATCTCCATATAGATTTAAAACAGCACATCTCAGACCAAAAAGAAAAACAACCAATTAAGACAATTTACAAGTTTTTCCACGAGGAATTCTGTAAGGACTTGTTGGCTAAAGTTGCTTCGAAATTAAGACACACACAGGGACACAAAATGAACATGGGGAGATAGGCAGAAGCGATCAACACAGAACACCCTCAAGCATTCCCACTCCCTGTGAAAGCATAAATCCCTTCGGAGGGTTCCTCTGCTTCAGCCCTTCATGAGACTCCAGAAGATGCCAGGAGTGGCTTAAGAAGCCTGGGAGAGACGGCCGTTGGGAAAGAACTGGTGGTGGTTGGCAGCACTTCATCCCAAGGAGGCTGGGGCAACAATTCCCGGGGCAGGAGACATCATGGATTTTGCTCCCTCTGGGCACCGGAGGGCCTTCCGTTTCTGGTCTGGATCCCTTAAGAGACAAAGAACTCGGCTCTCTCCCATACCAGCGTGGGACTGGTGGGGAGGGCAGGGAGTGGAAGGGTTACAATTCTACCCCCACGAGACACCGCCAGGCTCAAAGGAGCCTGGACCCGGCCTGGTCCAGCGGGCGTGCGGGGCTGGGGCACGCGGCCCCTCCGGCGTGGGCCAGGCGCGTTGCCAAGGTGCCCGGGAAGGGGCCCTGCGCAGGCCCGGCTCCCGCCGCGGTGCGTGCGCGCCCACCTAGGGCGCCTCTCCCTCC